CCTGACCCCCTCCTCTCCCTCACAGGCCGCGGGCTGAAGTCTCACGCCTACATCCACAGCGTCCAGTTCAGCCACCACGTCTTCCTCAACCTCCACACCCTCAAGTTTTACTGCCTCCCCGATAACTACGAGATCATCGACTCCTCGCTGGAGGACATCACAGTGCGGCGGGGGGTTCTGAGCTGCCCTGGGGGGGGTTCAGCTTCGTGTCCCCCCCAGTTTTCTGACCCTGTTTCTCTCCTGCAGTACGTGCTGAAGCCCACCTTCACTGCGCAGCAGATCACCAACCTGGACAAGCAGGCCAAGCTCTCCCGTGCGTACGACGGCACCACGTACCTGCCCGGCATCGTGGGGCTCAACAACATCAAAGCCAACGACTACGCCAATGCTGTTCTCCAGGTATCGCCGGGGTTTGGGGGGGCTCCAGGGTTCATTTTTGGGGTGAAAAACCCCCAAACCCCACTCCTGGGGCTGGCAGGGATGTTTCCCGACTCCTCTTCCTCAGGCTTTATCCAATGTCCCGCCATTGAGGAATTATTTTTTGGAAGAGGAGAACTACAAAAGCATCCAGCGCCCGCCCGGCGACATCATGTTCCTGCTGGTGCAGCGCTTCGGGGAGCTGATGCGGAAGCTGTGGAACCCCCGGAACTTCAAAGCGCATGTCTCACCCCACGAGATGCTGCAGGCCGTGGTCCTCTGCAGCAAGAAGAACTTCCAGATCACCAAGCAAGGTGAGGAACAGGGTGGGATGGTGGGGGGATGCTGGATCCCCCCCCCCCCCCGACCCTGGTTCTGATTTACTCTCTGGTTTGTAGGGGATGGGGTGGACTTCCTCTCCTGGTTCCTGAACGCGCTGCACTCGGCCCTGGGCGGCACAAAGAAGAAGAAGAAAAGTGAGCGGAGGGCAATGAAGGCCCTTGGGACACCCCCTCGGGTGATGCTCGTCACTCCTGGTGCCCCCCTGCAACATCCTTCTGTCCCCGCAGCCATCGTCACCGACGTCTTCCAGGGCTCCATGCGCATCTTCACCAAAAAACTGCCTCACCCGGATCTGGTGAGTACATGGAGGGGCAAAGCGGGGGGTTTCTTGGCCCCATGGGGGTCTGCAAGTCCCCCCCTCTGAGCCCCATGTCCCACAGCCAGCCGAGGAGAAGGCACAGCTCCTGCAGAATACCGAGTACCAGGAGATGATGGTGGAATCCACCTTTATGTACCTGACGTTGGACCTTCCCACCGCCCCACTCTACAAGGACGAGAAGGAGCAGCTCATCATCCCCCAGGTCCCCCTCTTCAGCATCTTGGCCAAATTCAATGGCGCCACCGAGAAGGAGTACAAGACCTACAAGGAGAACTTTCTCAAGCGCTTCCAGCTCACCAAGCTGCCTCCCTACCTAATCTTCTGCATCAAGCGCTTCACCAAGAACAACTTCTTCGTGGAGAAAAACCCCACCATCGTCAACTTCCCCATCACGTGAGTGGTGAAGACCCCTTGGGTGGGTGCTTGGGGTCGCTGTCTCCCTTTCCCTGTGCCCCATTGGGGGCTTGAAAGCATCTGGGGGGGGTGTAAGCACCTAGAAGGGATTAGTAAGCATCTAGAGGGAATTAGTAAGCATCTAAGAGGGGTTAGTAAGCATCTAGGGGGGCTTAGTATTTGGGGGAGAGTTGTAAGCACCTAGGAGGGTTTTGGAGGCATCTGGAGGGGTTTGGAAGCATCCAGGAGGGGTTTGCAGGCATCCATGGGGGTCTGGAAGCATCTGGGGGGGGGTTGTGGGTGGTGTAGGGGTTCCTCTGGGGTTTGGGCGCTAGTGATGCCCAGTTGAGGGGTGTTGGGTGCTCCGGGGGTGTCCCACAGGAACGTGGACCTGCGGGAGTACCTGTCGGAGGAGGTGCAGGCAGCACACACCAACACTACCTACGACCTCATTGCCAACATCGTGCACGATGGGAAACCCTCCGAGGGCTCTTACCGCATCCACGTGCTGCACCACGTGAGTGTCCCTTGTCCCTGGTGGGGGGGGGGTGTGACAATTGTGGTGACCCCCCCGCGGTGTCACCTCTGTCCCCTCCCATCCCCTCACAGGGCACCGGGAAGTGGTACGAGCTGCAGGACCTGCAGGTGACCGACATCTTGCCACAGATGATCACCCTCTCAGAGGCGTACATCCAGGTGAGGGGCTTTGCTGAGCAAGGGGGGGGTCCCGGGGGACGCTTGTCACCCCCCCAAATTGTCTCCTTGCCCCACCTTGACCCCCTCTTCCCCGCTCTGCCGCAGATCTGGAAGCGGCGCGAGGAGGACGAGACGAACCAACAAGGCGCCTGAGCCCCTCAGGGACATCCACAACCTCCCCTGGGCGTGCCTGTTCCCCCCTCAGGGGCACCCACAGCCCCCCTAAGAGCACCCATAGCCCCCCTGGAGGCACCCACAGCCCTCCTTGCCCCCAATTAAAGGCCACCCTATGTATTTTTGTAACCGTTTTCCGCCTTTGCTCTTCTTTTGGGTGCAGGGGGCGTCGTGGTTTTCACAGCTTCTGGGAGGTGTGAAAACCTGCCTGCTTTCTGAGAAAGCTGCCCCCCCTCCGGCCCCCGCACCCTGTCACAGGGCCCCCGCTGCACCCCAAAACACCCCGAAAAATTGAGGACGCTGAGGCAGGGCAGTATCCAAGCTTTATTTGGGGGTTGGGACTGAGACACGGGGCAGGGGGGCTCCTTGTGCCCCCCCACTTCTACACCCAGACGTGCTCCTGGCAGTGCTGCAGGGCCTGGGGGAGAGCAGAGCGGGGTGAGTTGGGGGGCAAGGCGGGCGCCAGGCCCCCCATCTTTGTCCCCTTTGTTGTCGTCGTCATCCCCCCGCCCTTGTCCCCAACTCACCTGGCAGCGGCGGGCGGCCTTGGGGCTGGAGCACCAGTAGGTTGGGCCCAGGGCACAGGGTCCTGGGTTTGGGGACAGCGCGGGGAGGGGGTGGCCCGGTCCCAGGTCCTGCAGGGTGGGGACACAGGTGTCAGAGGGGTGCCCTGGTACCCCCCTCCAGGGTGGGGACACCCCCGGGAACCCCCTCCCCAGGGCTGTGAGGTCCTCAGTGCGTCCCTTGGGGCTGTGGCACTCTCAGTGCCCCACCTTGGGGGGGGTCCTGTACCTGGTGGCACCCCTGAGCGTGTCCCCTGGGGGCTGTGACACCCTTGGGGACCCTGGCATGTTTTCTGGGGGTGTGACGCCTTTTGGGGACCTTGCTGTGTCCCATGGGGCTGTGACACCCTGGGACATATCCCTCGGGGCTGTGACACCTTGGAGGGTGTCCCCAGGGGCTGTGACACCCCAGGACTTGTCCCCGGGGGCTGTGACACCCTTTGGGTCCCTGGCATGTCCCCTTGTGTCTGTGACACCCTGGAGCACAACCCTCAGGGCTGTGACACCCTTGGGTGCCCTGTCATGTCCCCAGGGACCATGCCACCACCCGCCCCCCCCCGCAGGCACGTCCCCAGCCGCTCATCTAGCGGTGCCACCCCCACCCTCGCCACCCAGTGCCACCACGGCCACCCGGTCACCCCACTCACCTCGGTGCCGGCACAAGCAGCTGGCGAGGCCGCGGCAGCCCCGAGGGTCTGCCGGGGAGGTGACAAAGGGGCGTAACCATCCTCGGGGCCGCAGGTAAGGAGCAGGCGACAGAGCAGGCGGGGGGCCAGGCGCCCCAGCACCCCCTCCACCAGCAGCACCCCGTACCGCTGCACCAGGCACTGGCACGCGCCCACCACCACCACCGGCAGCACCCGGCATAGCTTTGTTGCCGCCTCCGCCACCGCCTCCTTGGGGATGGCAGCCTCGGCGCGGGCCAGGAAGGTGCGGCACAGCCAGCACAGCGGCAGCGGTATGGGCAGGGCCTTGCTGGCGGCGACCTGGGGACAGGTATTCACTCTGGAGACTAATGGTGGGGCTGTAGCCATGCTTGCACCCACAGAGAGACCTATAGGTTCCCAGCCGTGGCCGTGCTTATGCCCGTGTAGGTGCCCACAGCGATGGCCCCAGGGCTGCCCGTGTTCATGGCGCGTAGAGGCCCTTAATGATGCCCATGTGAATACCCGTGGGCGTGCCCCTGTAGAAGCCTATGTAGATGCCCCCATAGATTCCCATAATTATGCCCACGGAGATGCCCATGCCTGTGCTGGTGCCCCCGGGCACCCACCGCCCCCAGCCCTGAGGACCTGTACCTGCAGGCGGGTGCTGAGCGCCCCAAGCGGGGGCATGGCTGGGGCACCCCCCGGCTCTCCCGGGCACAGCTCCAGGTGGGCGCAGATGGCTGAAGGCTTCTGGGGGGCAGGGTGAGGGCACCCAGCGTGGGGCACCCCGCACCCTGAGGTGACCAGGATGGCACAGTGCCCCCAGCACCCGTAGGTGTCCCCGGATGGACAGTGGCCCCAAGCACCCCGAGGTGACCCAGATGTCACGGTGTCCCAAACCCCAGATGGCACCCCCTGGTACCCCAGTTGGCATGGTGTCCCCAATCCCCCCAGCACCCTGAGGTGTCCCCAGTTGGCATGGCGTCCCAGCACCCCAAGGTCTCCCCAGATGTCATGATGTCCCCAATCCCCCCCCAGCACCACCAAGGTGTCCCTGATCCCCCCAGCACCCTGAGGTGTCCTCAGCTGATGTGGTGTCCCCGATCCCCCCAGCACCCTGTGCCATCCCCATCCATCTGCCACAGCACCCATGGGTGCCCACTCACAAGGTGCCCCTCGAGGTCGATGAGGAGGAGGCTGAAGTACTCATGCACCAGGTTCTGGCAGGGTGGCACCATGCTGGGCACCGGCAGTGCCGCGCACTCCCGCCGCAGGAACCCCTCCACGGCTGCCTGCGCCCACAGCCACCATAGCACCTGCGGCAGCACCCACGGTGGCCACCCCATGCCCACCCCCCATCCCCACAGGCACCTTGGTGGCCGACTCGTTCGCCATGCGGGTGAGTAGGGTGACAATCTGCTGGCAGTCGGCGCACACGTCCTGCGAGAGGTGGCACCGGGCACGGGGATGTGAGACATGGGGATGCAGGGACGTCTGATGTGGGGATGTATGGCGTGGGGTGTGGGATGTGGGGAAATGAGCTTGGGGACGTAGGGAGATATGGCATGGGAACGTATGGCGTGGGGGAATGGGGA